GCCCGACGACATCTACCGCTACAGCCGCAGTCTGGAGGAGCTGCTGCTGGACGCCAACCAGCTCCGCGAGCTGCCCAAGGTGAGCCCGGCCCGGCCCGGCCCCGCTCCGCTCCGCTCCCCGGCAGGTGCCGGCCCCGGGGCCGCGTCCCTCTGCCCGGCTGCCCACGACGTGCCGGACCCCTCCTCGGGGCAGCCTGCGCGGCGGCGCCCCCAAATCCCCCCCTCTCGGGCCGGGGGCAGCGCCCGCTGCTTGCCTGGCACGGTGCTTGGAGAGCCCTGGAGGGAGCGATCCCGGCGGTGTTATAGATCCCTGGAGCGAGTTAGACAGCTCTGGGGTTATACATCCCTGGAGTGAGTTATAGAGCTTTGAAGCTGGAGATCCCTGGCATTATAGATCCCTGGAGTAAGTTGGGATCTGTAATGCCAGGGATCTCCAGCTAGCCAGAAATCCCTGGCATTATAGGTCCTTGGAGTGTGTTATAGAGCTCTGGAGTTGGAGATATCCCGAGTTATAGGTCCTTGGAGATCCCTGAAGTTGGGATCTATAATGCCAAGGATCTTCGGCTCCAGAGAGACTTCGGGCGTTATAGATCCCTGGAGTGAGTTAGTTCTGGAGTTGGAGATCCCTGGAAGGAGTTGGAGAGCTCTGGGATTATAGATCCTTGGAGTGAGCTGGATATTCCTGGAGCTGGAGAGCTCTGGAGTGAGTTAGAGATCCTTGGAGCTGAAGATCCCTGGAGTTTTGTCTAGGTGTAAGTTGTCTGCTTTCTCTGGCTTCCTCTGGAAGCCTTCTGCTGTGCCAGTCAGCCCTCAGGATCCAGGCAACACGCTCAACCTCGACTGTCTCGGTTCACAAAGGTACACGCTGAGAACTCAGCAGCTGGGAGGGCAGCAATGTGCACCTTGTGGTCGTCAGCTGAAAAATACCAAAGTCCTTTGAAACAAAAAAGGACCCCCCCCCCCCCAAAAAAAAAAAAAAAAAAAAAGGTGAAAGAAAGAAGCCAAAGCTGTCTGTCTTATGTGGGTGAAACAAGAGCAGTGTGTCACAATGAAGGGTCCTTAATGATTCATCATTCAATTGAACCTACTGTCCCTGCCTGTCTGACTAGTTAAGGGACACTGCCAAGATATTTTTTTCCAAGAGGGAGACAGAGAGAGACAGACACAGAGAGTGTTTTCAAATGATCAAGGTAAGAACCCCTGCTGTGGGAGGGAGAGGTCAGAGGTCTGCAGTTCCCTGATGTCACTGTTAATCACCCCATGTGTAACACCTGCTAAGTCAAAGAAATATTCAAGTGAATTAAAAAAAAATCTTTCATGTTTTTATAGTTAAGTAAACCCTTTTCTGGACTGAGGGGGAAAAACCCTTCTCTATTGAATGAGATTTTCCTTTTTCCTTTTTGCATTCTGCATTGGGAAACTGAAATATAGCTGTCTCTGATGTTTTACATACTATAGATTTAGTACGAGCTCTGCCAAGTCACCTGAGTTTGGCTGCTTTTCCGGAAGAATATTCACTGGACTCTTATGTGCAGTCTGTTGTTGACATACTGTAGTCCAAGTCTGATTCATAACAGGTCAAGGCTCAAAAATCTTATGCCACTGTGAATGAGTTATTCTATCAGGTGCCAAACCGTCCTGTTTTATGCCTATGAATCAGTTATGAAACAAGTAGGTGTTGCCACTATCAAGAGTAGTAAATGTGCATTATTCTTAAGTACTTAAAGCTCTGATCCCAAGTAATTACAAAGAACAGTTGTCCAATTGGTAGGCTTTCTTTAAAATGCTGTGCGGTGGGGGGCTTACTTACTTTTTCACTTGATAAACTGGTGATTTTACAAACATTCCATTGTATAAACTTTGTATACTTGCATAACCCTTGTGAACTGTAGTCTTCAAAACACAACATTGAAAGTGGAGCAGCCTTAACTAAAACTAAATACAGGGGGCAGGTAAACTTTTCTGAACTTGGAATTTTGAACCTATGTATGAGTCACACAGGTTGTAGTTGAACAGATAAATCAGAAAAGAAGTTACAGGTGTCAGTGTCTTTCGTTGAATCGGGGTAATTCTGTTCATTCTCCAAAACTTAAATTGCATGTTTTGGTTTTTTTTTGTTTTTTTTTTTTTACTAGCTTTCTTTATTATGAACAGTAATTATGGAATGCATTCTGAGACTGGAAAAGACGTTTAATAAAAAGGAATGGCTTCTTGAGCTAAGCAGCATCTTTTGAAATACCTGAAATAACAGGTTTTAAATCTTGGTGGAGCTGATTAGAATTTCATTCTTCTGAGGGAGACAGATCTGGTTTTGCACAACTTTGTTTATAAGGGCTTCCTGGTGTGACACTTGGCGTGGCTGGCTGCCTCTAGATTTTTTCTGAGGGAAATGAATCTGTTTTTGTATAATTTGTGCATGGATTGTTGCAGGCGTGACACTTTTGAAGATTCTCTTTTGTTCTTTATGCTCGTCCTTTGAGCCATACTTTTCATAAGAGGAAACTAAAGCTGACCAAAATGCCTTCTTCCTTGTTGCGCAGCACATTGCACTCCATTACTTACTGTTTTTTGTTTTTTTGTTTTTGTTCTCGGACACAGCCTTATAATAGGTATGAGTGTGATTTATAAATTCCTTTGCGACTAGAGCTCTGTAAACGTAAGAGTTGGCTGCTTTAAATGACAGATGCAAACTTATCCATGCTGTTTCCACAGACGTTTTCTTTCATCAGCAGTACTATTGATATCTGCTTGGTGACTTGTACAGTAGTTCTTTCCATCTGCCCAACTAGAATCTATTCCCTGTGAGATCGTCTGCCTGCCTAATGATGGTATAGAAATTAGTCTCTTCTCAGGGTACAGGAAGTTCTACAGATATGAAGAGGTGTCTTGGGATTGCAGTAGAAATAAGCAAGAATCTAAGTTTAAAAATAAGTTCTTAGCAGATAAAAAAGTAAATTAAGAGTTCTTGCAATTTGGCATGAAACTGATGTGTGGGTTTTTATATGTATTGCAAGTTGGTTCAACACACAATTTGATTATGAAAACATGTCTGTAGTGACATTTATCCTGATGCTTCATGTCTCGCCAATACCATATGAAGATACTTCATTAGTTTTTAGAAGGGTACTGTACTATGACCATTCTTCCTCTATTCTGCGATGTCATTTCATTAATCTATGAAAAATAGGTGTGTGTGTTTTTTGGATATTCTAGCAAAAATGAAAAAAAAGGAAGCAGATGTGCTATGGCACTCTCCTAATCTATTGAAACTGGAGTCAGAACGTCCTTCTCTAAAATTTCCATTACATCAAAAGCTTTTAAAATGTTGCCATTGTAGTAAAACTGGCCTAATTACGAATAATAATGTGCAACTTTGCCAGTCCTGTGTTGATGTGCTTTTTTAATATTAAGAGGATAATGTTGCTGCATTCTGTAAAGTGAAGGTACAGAATTGGAAAGGGGTATAATAAGGATCAAACCAAGCGTTGTGAAACAGAAGATGCTATTGATATCATTGGGAGAGCTGTTTTTATGAACTGGTGAAACAGTAGTTCTAAACAATACAAAAATGGGACTAACGGCACAATATAACGTAACATCTCACATTGTGCCCTTACATCTATTTAAAAAAAAAAAGCATGAAAAACAAAGAGCACTTGGGCAAGCTTTTAGAGACATTCTTAGACTAAATTTGGAAATTCCTTTACTTGGTTCTTGGTACATTACCACTGTTACGGAAAAGCCAGGGAAAATGAGAGTCTTGCATTTTGCCATGAAGTTCTTAGTAGCCTGTTCTCCAGCAAATGAATTGATTGTAGGCCACAGAGTGTACTGTTGCTGTAAGTTATTCCACAACATTATAAAGCATTTGTGTCTTGGTTAGGGAGTTGGCATTTGGGGTCAGTTAAAGGGATTATTTAGACTGTTCTTGAGGAAAGAAGAATATTACATACTTTATAGAAATATTTTGATTGTTCTGCATATAGTTAGTCTTTGAGTCGAGTTAAGAAGCTGTGCTTCTGTAGAAGGATTGTACAGTACATTACTTGCTCATTGTAAGGGGGCAAACTATCCCTTTTTTCTTGGTTTCTGACTGATAGATATATATGATTGATGTTCATTTGCTTTGTGGGAAGGACTACAGAAACAATTGGAGCTAGAGAGAAGACCCTTCTGGCAGAGTAATACAGGACTAGAGTCAAGCCCACATGGATTTCTATTCCTAACACTGTCACTGCTTTGGGTACTTCACCTCTATGCATATCTGTATCCCTTTTCACTTGTTCCTGTGAAGTTGTTGGGTGTACGTTGCTTATTATTGTACTTACTTAGTGGTGCTCTGTTCTTGGTTTGGCCTCTGAAGTGTTGTTGTCATACTATGAAAACAAGGGTGTAGGGTGGTGGGGGGCCAGCCTTTTGACAGGTGTGCCAAAGCTAGGCTCTATGCTCTCCTGGAGTGCCCTTCCAATCCCCTTCTGTTGTTCCATCTGCCACAGCTTTCTGCTCCCTGCCTGATCTATGGTATGCCACATGCAGAGGCTGCCCGAGGCACTTTTGACCAAGCCCCACGTGCCACAACACGGGGGCCTGCAGACCAAGCTCTCCTCCTGGTGTAATGTATCATTACTGTCTGGTGGCCTTCATAGCTGTTGAAAGGGTCTTCCATTCTCTGCTTCTAGGTTGGCAAAATGATTACATTCACTCTCTTCTTTTTTTATAAAGTCTTTTGGTTTTTTTTTTTGCTTTGGACAGGAATGAAAAACATAGCCTTTGGTTCTGGTATAAGGTATAGTTGCATGTTTATTTAATTGTATTACATTAAAACAGGGCAGTCTTAGATGAACGTCCAGATGCACTGAAATAAAAAATATGAAACATTGAGATGGAGGTAAATTTGTTTTTGCTGTGTGTATTCAAGTCCTGAGTCTTTGGCCCAGGGGTCTTGTCAAATACTCTGGGTTTAGTTCAGGGTTCAAAACAAGTGTTCTGCTCCCATCTTAGTTGCAGCCTGAGATCTTGCAGCGGCCAAATAAAATGCTGCCAGGATGCATTGAAGGCATACCTCGAGACACTAGCATC